TTTTATAATACACAAATAAATTGCATAGTTCAGACCCCAAAAAAGCATTATCAATCGTGTGATATTTATTTAAATGATCATTTATAATAAAATTTTTAGTAAGATGTCTTTTTACTTTTTTATATAAAATAATGATGTTTTGTGCTACTGTACTTTTTATAAAAAGTTTGCATGATCAAACTATTAATTTGTACTTAATGTTATATATTTGTATAGTTTTTACTTTTATTATAATAAACTATAACATGACGAACACAATAAACAAGGATTTAACAAGTGTTGACTGTGGTCAGGAAACCGAAATGTTTGTTGAAGTTGAGTTATTACAGTATGAGTTGGCTATAAAAAAGTAGCAAAAGAGGAATGGAAGCAGTATATGTTTGAAAAATGTTCTTATGAGTTGAAAGTTTTTATTATCAGAAATGTTAAGTTGAATTGAGATGAAAAACTGTTGGTGAAAAACTCCAGGAGAAAATTCATATAAAGGAGCAAATGATGCAGAAAGAAGAAGGAATTAGAAGAATAACAAGACAAATTGAATATAATATTACGAAAAAAATACAAGAAACTATTAAGAATACTTTTAAAGAATAAATGAACAGAATAAGTATATACCAATGAGATGTTATAATCGTGAAAAAAACAGGACATTACGTAGAAGTTGCTTTGCAAGAAGGCAATATAACTATGAAAAATTTTAAAAAGTTAGATAATTTAAATTATTTGTGTTTTAACAATGGGCAAGGCTCGTCGGAAGAAGAGAAAAACTATGTTTTAAAAGAAAACAATAAAAGACATAAGAAAATTTGCAAATATAGAGTACTGAAGCAGTAAACGAAAACAGAAGACATAAAAAAATTAACACTAGAGAAATTGAAAAAAAAATTTTTAGAACGTTTTGATGTAGAAGAAAATAAAATAGACTATTGCGAACTAGAAAAGTGTAGAATTAAAACAGAACTGGGGAAAAAGATTTTTAAAAGAGGGTAGACAGTACCACAATCATTAGTTGCGGATACCGAAATGTACATAAAATTATTAGAAAGTCGAGGTACCATATGTAGATCAACATCCAAATGGCGGAATCCGATTAGAGCATTAAGAAAACAAAATGGTACAATAAGACTTGTAAGTAATTTAATGGCTTTGAATGATTTAGGAGAAAAAGATGAATATGGATTAGCGAATATTAGAGACATAATTAGATATACACAAGGGTCAAAGTATTTCTTGGTTATTGACCTTAAAGAAGGATTTTATAGCATCGAGATAGAAGAAGAAGACAAGATGGAAACGGCATTTGAATTTAATAAAAGGGTCTATGAATGAAATGGCATGGTTTTGGGATTTTAAAATTCCTCGCAAATATTGCAAAGAACCATGGATAAAATTTTTGAAGAATATAGAGGCAATGGAATTGAAATCTATATGGATGACATTGTTATTCATGTTAAAACCAAAAGAAAGCATGATGAGCTTTTAATAGAGTGTATTAAACAATTAAGTCAGAATAAAATAAGGGTCAATATTAATAAAATACAATTTTTTCAAGAATCTATAAATTATTGTGTGTTTAACTTAATGGTCAAGAAATTACACCTTCAGAAATTAAACAAAATGAAACATTAGAATTCCCTATACAACAACATTGTTAGAATTACGAAAATTTTTGGGGTTGACGGGTGGTTTAGAAATTTTATTAAAGATTATGCAGACTTGACATTATGCTTGACAGATACTTTAAAAGGAAAAAACAAACAATTCGTGTGGATAGAAGGAATGAAAAAATAATTTAAAGCATTAAAAGAAGTCGTTAGAAAAATTAATAAACTCGGGATTGCAGACTATACAAAAGAATTTTTAATAAAACAGACGCGAACAATTACGGCATGGGCGCAGTTTTGTTTCAGGAAAACGAAATTGACGAATGGGTTCCAATACAGTGGGCATCAAAGAAATTTACCCTTACAGAACAACAGTATGGTATAAGTGAAAAGGAAATGTATGTAGTATTTTAAGGGAGCAAAAAATTTGAATACGAATTAATAGGGCGCAAATTTAAGATTGAAACAGATCACAAAGCTCTGAATGAAATAAGAAGAAAGCCGTGCTTTAATAATAATAGAATAAATAGATGGATAGAGAAAATACAAAAATTTCACTTCAAAATTAAACATGCAAAACCAGAGATATTAGTTGTTGTAGACACTTTAAGCAGAGTTCAAGTAGAGGAGGAAAGAAAAAACTAAAAGACAGATCATTGGAAAGATTAATAAACATGTTGAAATTTAAATGGTGACGAATACTGGAAATTTGATTCTGGAAAGAAAGCTATCATCCCACCGGGAAAAATAGGAAAGAGATGAGTATTCTGGCGTACGAAGCCTTGGAGCACAGAGGGGCGAAGACGTCTATTATCAACTTAAAGAGAAGTTTTACTGACTCGGAATGAAAGATGAAATACTTGAGGTATTAAAAGAATGTACTACATGTCAGGTTTGCAATCGTAAAAAAGTCGGGCGGGTGCGACTTTGTTCATACAACAAGATATTTAGAGAAAATTGCTTTGGATCTAATTTAGTTTCGAGACAAAAAAAATATGTATTAGTATTAATTGATTATCATACCGACTAGCATAGACATGTGTATTAAATAATAAGAGTCCAGGGATGATTGTAAATTTTTTGGAAATGTTATGCCGACAGGGAAAAAATCAGAAGAAATAATTATGGACAACTGTAAGGAACTTGTAAATGAAGAAATGAAGAAATTTTGTTTTGATCTTGACATAAAACAAAGGAAAGTAAGTATAGAAGCTTACAGAAGTAATGGTAGAGTCGAACGAGTTATTGGAAAGTTGCGAGAATTCATTTTAAAGATGTCTGGTGTATCCTTTGAAGAACAAGTGAGGAAAGTACGTACACTTACAATAATAGTTAACATATAAGAATAAAATGTACACCATAGGAAGCATTAACGGACGAAACATAACGGTATATGATTCAAAATAAACCAGAAGGCATTATGACATAAAGAAGTTGAGTGGATGATGAGGCTACCGCCTGGGAGGGGATGTTATGTATTTGAATAATTTTTGTCCCCATTATGATAAACTATAATATATTATATCTACTTGGTTGAATAACAATAATTTATTGTAAGTACATAAAGTATAGTCATGTAAGTCTTTCTAAACATAAAACAAATAGTATCCTGAAATGGACAAATAGTAAAATGAATTAACTAACAGACTTACTCTAAATGCTTACAAAATTGAAGAAAGATTGAAAGAAATGCTTTAGCAAAATTAAATGGAGCTCTAAAGATTACTGGCCGATGAAACTCCCAAATATTGAAGAAAAAGTATGTTTTAGCAGAACTTCAGATCAAAAATTTATTAATTATGTTACATGCGAGGCTTATTGTTTTGTCCAAATTAATCGATAGATTAAGAAATGCAACTATGTATTCAGTAAAAAAAACTTTAAAGTTATTTTGTATAGTAAATTGTACAATATAAACATAAAGTTACTTCCAAGTAAATTTATATCTTAATAATGTTATGCAAAAAATCAGAATTTTTTTTAAACTTTCAACACATTTTTAGTAACAAAAACTATGATATGGTATTATTTACGACATGTCAATAATTTTTATTTATTTTAGTACTAGCTTGCGCTATCCCGTTAGAACGGGATCACAAATAATGTGTGTTCTTTCATTTAAGTGGAGATTATGGGTCTTTATGCATATTTTTATAATTTTATATTACAAAATGATTTTTTTATTATAAATTAAAATTTGCTATAAACACCTTGTATAAAACTATTAAAACTAAATAAAAACAAGGTAAAATGCACAAAAACACCGTTCCGTGCTTAGAAAAAACCCCTACACTTATGTTACTCGTTATTTATAAAAAATACAAAGAATTTTAAAAAATTTAAAAAAGAAGGGAAAAAAAATAAATATTAAGATTCAAACTTTTTATACAGTGCGCGTCAAAATCTTAAGACATTTAAAAAAAAATTTTTTCTGTGCAAAATCAAATAAGATACAATTCTAAAATCATCATTCGAATTTAAGCATTGTAATTAAAATGATATAAAAAATACCTTTTATTGAATCCTATTTTATATAAGTATAATTCAGGGGTCAAGTTTTTTTATCTTAAGAGGTGCGTCAAAATCTTAAGACACTCCGCCTAAAAGCATGTTTTATAAAACTATAATTAAAACATTTGTTATAATAAAGAATTGAGAAATTTTATCTTTTTAGTCCAAGCTATTACAGGACGTTTAAAAAAAATAATTAGTCTTACAATTAAACAGGACGTCTCATTTAACTCAAATTTTAAAATACAAACACATGCTTAAAATAATGATATCTGTTATTTAATATTTTTTGATTAAGAAAAGTGATTTTAAATTTTTTTAACGTTTCTCGGGGACATGATGGTTTTGATATCTCTTTGAAAAAAATTATTTATCCCCCAATGAGCATAGGAAATTCTTTAGGTGAGTATGAAAAAGGACAGATTGATGCTTATTTTCTAATAGAAATAAATATTAAGCAAATTGGTACTATATTGGACAGAAGCAAGACTGCAATTAGAAATTAACTGGCCTCAAAGAATTTAATTAAAAGTATTAATAAGAAAGTTCTTTCTTTTAGGACAATAAAAAAATTCAAAATATGGGTTATAATAAAGCCATGACTATTTCTAAAATTAAGGCCGATTTGGTTTATCAGTATCAAAATCTACTTTTTAAGAGCAATTAAAGAAATAATAATCTTGTTTATAAAAAAATGTGACAGAGTCCGAGTTTAAAAAAGTGCATAAATTAAAAAGGTTTGATTTTGCTTTAGATAAAATTTTATGGACTCGTCAATGGCATAAAGTTATATTTTCTGACGA